TCTCCTCATTTTGGAGGAGAAACAAATTTGGTGGGTCCCACTACACTTTTCCTTCTCTCTTCTCATTCCCCCTCCTTAGCCAAAGTGGAGAAATACACACTTTCTCTCTAGCTTCTCTACCCTCCTTCTCTTTCTCCTAAACCAAAGGCAGCCTTACATTAGTTTACATATTTATCATAAAATACACGTGGGAACATATTTATCAATACCCATGTTCTGTCCATTATTCAATAGTAGTTTACATGTGTGTGCAATATTTTAAAAATCAATTTACCATTAATATTTGTTTATAACATGTGCATATAACTTTCCAATTATATAACTTTTAAAATTATCTAAAATTATTAAAATATGAAGTAATAGTTTTTTATTTAAAATCATTTAATAGTATTGCACAAAATTGAACTGAAGAAGTACTAAAAAGGATAAATATGAATTTGGTTTCTTTTATAATTGTTAAGAATTTAATATTTAAACATTGTAATTTTATTACACTTTTACTCATCAGTTACATTCATACGGTAATTACATTCAATAATTGATTGATGAAGTAAAATTCACGTACAGACTTATTATTATTATTAATGTGGACCAAAACATGCCGGTGAGTCTCCAACCGGATAATTCCATTGTTAACGAAGTATGAGAATTGAGACATTATGAGTTTTATGAATAAATCTAATAATTTTTATTTCAAGTGTAGTTACCATATACTTACTTGTACACTCTTCCTTAAGGCTATTTTGTCTCAGCCGAACAATTATCTCTAATACTACTGGTTATACCAAACTATAACCGGTGAGCCTCCAACCACCTGAATATAATTGTTGTGGAGACATGACAATAGTGGAAAATTACATCAACACATCCTGAATCAAAACTTTAATATAATAGTTTGATGAGTTTTCTCGATCTATAAACTATTTTATTTGTTTCATCGATATGGGAGAATTCATTCTTATGATTAATAATGTAAAAATGGAGATTTTGGGAAGAACGATGTTGTGTGATTGTAATAATAAGAAGGTAGTTGTTGTGAATCCACATGTCCCTTTGTAACACAAAAACACAACACATAATTACAAGATCTAGTTCCCACAAATTTCCCTTTCACAACCAACCTACCCCTATCAATGGCTTCTCGCCGCCGCATCTTATTAAAGGTTATCATTCTCGGAGATAGTGGGTATGTTTCTCCTTCTTCAAATTTTCAACTTTTCCTTTCATTTTATTCTACAAATGTCTTTAAACAAACCAAAAAATATTCATTTTTTATTCAATAGTTTTGTACATTCCGGCCATATTATTATTCATAACCATGTTTTAGAGCTTAGGATATAATCACTTAGATACAATTTGTGTTATTAAGGTAGCTTTTATTTGCTAATGCCATTTTGTATTTTTATTTGGCAGGGTTGGTAAAACTTCATTGATGAATCAGTATGTCTCAGACTCAGTTTTTTATTTTTATTTCATATATATATTTGATTAGCATTTTTGTATTAGATGGTTATTATCGGCGCAACGATAACGTTGCTTCTTAGTGACCATGATGTCATAAGTTCAAATCCTGAAATTGTGTCTCCGCTTGCGGAGTAAGACTACATACATCTATCCTCCCGAACTCACTAGGTGGGTAGCCTTGTGAATTGGCTCATCTTTTTTATTCTTTTGTTTGATTAATTGATTTGTTTCCAGAATGGTGAATGTAACTTTTTTCCACCTTGCTAGGTATGTGAATCGAAAGTTTAGTAATCAGTATAAGGCTACCATTGGCGCTGATTTTCTTACCAAGGAAGTTCAGTTTGAAGATAGGTTGTTCACATTGCAGGTGAGAGAGTTGTTTGTAGAACATACTGTTTCTTTTTCCATAAAATAAAATATGTCCGAATGTTTTTTGCACTTTTGCATTCATGATGATGTTTTCTCCTGTTGCAATTTAAATAACCATGTTATTCTGCTTTGGACTGATCTATTTGTTTCAAATTTTTTATTATCACTTTGTATTTAATGTAAATAGTCTTCCACTCATATCATCAATGTGATCTGCATTAGTTGTATAACATTTTTTTCCCGATACACCGGGTCATTCATGTTGCTGTAACTCATTGGTTAACTTAGAGCTTATGTGATTGCATTAAGTTTTTAGTTTCTTTCTAAAGATTAATATCTTAAAGAATCTTGTATCGCATTAATTAACCTAGAGCCTCGGCGCAACGGCTAAATTGTTGCTTAGTAACCAAGATGTCATGTGTTCAAATCCTGGAAACAGACACTGTATTTGCAGGGTAAGACTCTGTACATCTACCCTTCCTAGACCCCATTAGGTGGGAACTTCATGCACTGATCCTCCCTTTATTTTAATCTTGTATTATAGGAGCATGTGCTTCTCCTTCTAACGGTGAGCCTCAGTGCAAAAATAAGATTGCTTCTTTGGACCTGGAGGTCAAGAATTCAAATCCTGAAAACAATCTTCCATTCTCATTTTAATTTGATTTTTTAGTTATGAGCCCTTCTGGCTTGTCAATTTAAAAGTTTAAAAATAAAGAGGAATGGGAAGAAAATATTCTGCTTCCTTGTGTTCTGTATGCTGTACGAAAAAATTTCCATTGTGCTTGAAATATGATGCCATGGTTGGGCAAGCTCTTTCTACTGCATGAAAAGATCAATGATTAGTTGTATTTTAGAGCATGATATTCAAGTAATGATTATGTACTCTTCAATATGTTTGAAATATATGGAAGAAGAGAGATCATGTGTTATTTAATGTCTGCTCACAAATTATATCTAAACTTGGGATGTTCTCCTTGTACTGTATGTGTAGATCTGGGATACTGCTGGTCAAGAGAGGTTTCAGAGTCTTGGCGTGGCTTTCTACCGAGGTGCAGACTGCTGCGTCCTTGTTTACGATGTAAATGTTGTAAAATCTTTTGACAACCTTAACCACTGGCGAGAAGAATTTCTGATTCAGGTGATTTTAAATATGCGGCTTCAGAGTAATCTCAACACACTTACTAAAGAATATTCAGTGAAATTCTCTGTGATTTGATATTCAGGCTAGTCCATCTGACCCTGAAAACTTCCCATTTGTGGTCTTGGGAAACAAAGTAGACGTTGATGGTGGAAATAGCCGAGTTGTAAGTTAATTCTCACCTCAAAGTTACTTATATGGTTCTTGAGATATATGAAAATTATTTTCGGAATTCAAGTACATATTGTTAATAAGCTTCCTGCTAGATTTGTATTATGATGTACCTGCTCTTTTTTCTCCTCAATTTAACTTATGTATTTAGGTGGTTAATTATACATGTTTGCATTTGTTACAATCTCATCTGTTGCAGGTTTCAGAAAAGAAAGCAAAGGCATGGTGTGCTTCGAAGGGAAACATACAATACTTTGAGACTTCTGCAAAAGAAGGATTCAATGTTGAAGCTGCTTTCCAGTGTATAGCCAAAAATGCACTAAAAAATGAACCTGAAGAAGAATTGTGAGTTTCCTGTATCTTGCTTTTCTATATCTATATTGTTAACTTTGAAATGTTAATCATAGAATTTTGGAATTTGAAGAGGATCCGGAAGACCCAAAAAAATACAACTTATTTGTGAATACCATTCTTTTGGTATAAGCAAGGGTATCACCTAATCCTGTAGGTAAGGAATTAACCCATTTCGGAGTGTGAGACTGCCCCTCCCAACAAGTGCCACTATCAGGAATCGAACATTTGACCTTTTAGCCTATCTGGGTATCTAGTGTGACCTTACACCACTAGACCAGTGCCTTATTAGTTGAATACCCTCTTTGAATTTGAATAAGATGCTTATCATTTCTTCAATAGGGAAGAACATATAAGTTGTTATGAATAATTCTAAATCTTCCAACTCAACCACCCTTACAATCTCCTAAGTACTAAGTAAATAAAATGTTGAATATATATATGCTCAAGATATGTGATGCATTACTTTTTTACTTAATACTTTCTTTATATGGTATTAAGTGGTTTATGTAAGGAGATATAGAAAAACCCAATTGTTATTTCAGTTGGAGCACTATCTAGTTTGTAGTTATTTATTCTGTTTAAGAAGGGTAGTTGGAGTACCATTTGTAATATTTCCTTTGATTGGTGGTTGTTAATTATGATAGGTACATGCCAGACACAATTGATGTGGGTGGTGGTGGTGGCGGTGGCGGCCGGCAGCAGAGTTCCACAGGCTGTGAATGTTGAGTATATTCCTTGGTTCATATTCACATTGGTGATTTATAAGTCAGCTACTTCAACAATGAAAAATATAAACAACTTATAAATTATATTTGTATCTCACTAATGAGATAGATACTCCCATGTTTATTTTTTTAATTTAATCATGTCATATAATATTTCTATCAAATGTTCTCACTTCTCACTGTATCTGTGCATTCTGTTTGAACTAAAGGAGAACATTACCTGTCATACATTCTGTACAATTCCTTTTATCTATGTTTTGTGATTAGTCAAAATATTATATGTTGAATTTCCAATTAAAATTTATTTGTTTAGATCAAACATTACCTGTATTTCTTTTGAAAATTTTCTAAGGGATTATTTGTGAGTTGAGTTTCAGAAGAAAAAAAAGACTTAGAACAATGAAATATATTTTTGAGATATATCTCAAGCCTTTCATCTTAAACTGAAATCGAAAAAACTCGAAAAGACCATAAAGTTAGTCTTGACATGTGAAACATGATAATGTTTTATTTCTTCCTTAATTCATCTTAGTTTCACCCTTGAGTGTTAGTCAAACATATAATGGATTAGTGTGTTATTTTCATCTCATTATGTTACTTCTATCCATTACAATTTGAGTTTCACACACAAAAATTGCAACCTATGAGTAATAACAGGGAATAAGATAGTGCATGTGATAAGAAAATGAAAGCATTAAGTTTTTTGTTAATATAACTTCATTTACACAGAGATACATAAAAAAAATGATAAAAAAATATTCATACGGAAGCCACTCTTTATTATCAGAGCCAGGTTTCGATCCTGGGACCTGTGGGTTATGGGCCCACCACGCTTCCGCTGCGCCACTCTGATTTGTTGTAATGACGTGGTAACTCAACTTATTTATCGTAATACGAAACATGCTATGATTTTAAGAGGAATCATGCTCTAGTTACTCATGATAGATTATATGAACTGAAATCAAAATTCAATATATCTTAAAGGACAATAATCATATATATAGTGAGAATATAATGTATATTATTTTGCATCTCCTTACAACAATTCAATATATTGAGACCACAAACACTATTACAGTTTAAAACCACTTGCTAGTCATAAAACATTTTCTAACATGGTAAGGGGTTGGAAAGGAGACATTGGTGTAAATAAAATGATGAAAAAACACACATAATACTCAAAACCACTAAAGTCAACTTTTATTGTCTTACAACTCACTTGTGAAATAGGAAAGTGATTAATGATGAAACTTGATCCGAAGGAGAAAATGACATATGATTAATAATACAGATTTTAAATAAAATAAAGTATGAAATTAATCTGAACATCATATTTTAATAGAGTGAGACTCATCTCCGGTAATGGAAAAGAAAGTGTTGTGGAATTTCAAACAAAAGACAAAATACATTTACAATTGTATTCCTATTATTTAAAATGTGATTACAATTTAACCCTTCAAATTTTAAGGGAAAAACACTGTCCTCTCAATTATTGAAGAGAAGTCTAAACTCATTTTAATATCGGACAATCCAATTAAGAGAATCCAATGGTCTAGTAGAAAATGAGAGTAGGAATATGGTCAACAATTAATAATAAAAGACTCAAAATAGTGCAAGTGGGTGGGCGGCAAAATTATATAAAGATTTTAGAGTTCATAAGCACTAATAATATAAAATTTAAATTGTATGTTAAAAATAAAGTATATTCCCTGATATCAAATATTACATCCTATATATAAGATTTGTCGTATATTTGAATTTCACTACTTATAAAAGGCTTGTAAAATTTTATTTTATGCATATATCTCTACAAAAATCATGGCAAGGTATAAGTGAAAACAAAAAAACAAAACCTGCCCATTATTTAATGTACATAAAAAATGAAACATAACCCATCCTAGGCCAATAACATAAGATAAAAATGAATCATGACATAATAATACAATTAACTAACAGATAGGAAAACAATAAATAAATAATAACACCTAAGATACAATAAAATATTAAGAAGTACTTATTTTTGCAAATATTATATATAAGGGAGACATGCATGAATGTCATCCCTCAACTTTAGCTATCATTGACCTTAGTTTAAATTAAGAAGCTTAACCAATAACCATTCAATTCTTCACATTGTTACCTAACCAAAACTCTTGTGACATTAAAAAATAAGACATTTTATGATTCTCTCACTCTTAAACCCATCACATTATTAACAACATGCACCCCACGTTCATATAACACAGCTCAAATATGGAAAAGAAAACTAACACAAAATATCATGAAACATGTCACTTCCACCCCTTTGACAAACTCCTAAAAACAAAACAAGAAAAACTAACACAAAATTTCATTTTCTACATTGGCTTTCTCACCTGCAACAACTTTCCCTCTCCCTAAGGATTCTTCACTACCCCATGTTTTGTTCTTGCTTCTTCATCCCTTCAAAGTTTTCTTAGGAAACTTTTTATATATTCAAAAAATATAAAAAATGGTTCGAGTAGGGGAACAAGAACAAGAAGGTTATAGGTCCAAAATGTTAAATTTCAGAGGGATGTTTGAGATCACAGGGAGAAATACAAAGAGTATGAGTGTTGAAAGTGCTAACATATTGGATCCTATTTCTATAGAGGATGGTACAGCATCATCAAAAAACCAAGGATCAAATAATGTTCCTAAGGCAAGGGTTATAAGCAAAGAAGAAATTGCAGCAAAAGAGAGATTATTGCAAGGTGAACATTAATAATGTTAATTTTCTAATGATTAATGTGTTTGTAATATAAGCTTTATAATATTTGATATTTTATGTTAGCCTCACTTACATTATATCTTATTTGTATGTACATATTTCTAGAATACATAACAAGTAAAGAAACATCATATGGTTGTTCTTTTTTTTATGTCCATCAATCATTTTCCTTATACTGAGTAACCGTTAACAACATTTCCTTCCATGCAAAAGAGAGGGAGAGGTGGTTGAAACAACTAACACATTTTCTTGAACAATATATTAACTTTGAAGCTTTAAATCAATGCCCATCATATTCATATTCTTAAACTTGCATTTGATATTCATGGTTGGGTTTAATTCAGAAATGGAACAGATGAAGGAGAGATTTGCCAAACTGCTATTAGGTGAAGACATGTCTGGTGGAGGAAAAGGTGTTTCATCTGCTTTGGCATTATCAAATGCATTCACAAACCTTGCTGGTAAGTTCTTATATTGCTTTTTCCTTCAACTAAAACATTACCTTATTCTTCATGCTCAATAATACATTGCCACTTTTCCCCTTATATTCTTAATGCAGCATCTATTTTTGGTGAACAAAAGCGTCTTGAACCAATGGCTGTAGAAAGAAAATCAAGATGGAGAAAAGAAATTGATTGGCTTCTATCAGTTACAGATTACATTGTTGAAATGGTTCCTTCACAACAAAAGTCTAAAGATGGTTCACAAATGGAGGTAACCAAACACATACATTACACACTCTTCTTCTCTATCATTATTATTCTTTTCCTCATAATTGTTATATGATATTTGAATTAATAGATCATGACTACACGACAACGAATCGATCTTCACATTAATATCCCTGCCTTGCGCAAGCTTGATGCAATGCTTATTGTAAGATCACCAACCTTGCTTAGCTAAATATGACCATATATTTTTTATATTTCAATTGATTTTTAATTATCTCTAGAATTTTGTTATGAACAGGAATGTCTGGATAATTTCAAAGACCAAAATGAGTTCTATTATATATCAAAAGACTCAGAAGATTCAAATAAAGACAATGCCAATAGCAAAAATGATGATAAATGGTGGTTACCTATCCCCAAGGTTCCTGCAGAAGGTCTATCTGATATGGCTAGAAAATTTTTGCAGTATCAAAAAGAGAGTATAAATCAAGTACTCAAAGCAGCCATGGCAATAAATGCTCAAGTTCTAACAGAAATGGAGATCCCCGAAAGCTATATCGAATCCTTACCCAAGGTAAGAGAGAAATACTAGTATTTACTTTTAAAAGTACTACTTATTCTGACTTTTATTTCATATAACAAATTTATTATTATTTTACAGAATGGAAGAGCAAGTTTAGGGGACTCGATCTATCGGTGTATTACAGTTGAATTTTTTGATCCTGACCAGTTCCTATCCACCATGGACTTATCATCAGAACATAAAATCCTAGATCTCAAGAATAGAATTGAAGCATCAATAGTGATTTGGAAGCGGAAAATGAACCAAAAAGATTCCAAATCAGCTTGGGGCTCTGGTGTGAGTTTGGAAAAAAGAGAACTCTTTGAAGAGAGAGCAGAAACCATCTTACTTCTACTAAAGCACCGCTTCCCTGGCATTCCTCAATCTGCATTGGATATAAGCAAAATCCAATTCAATAGGGTAAACAGATTGAGTTTTATACAATATCTGCAATGAAGAGTTTAACATATGGTCTTAATATCTATAGAGTCACACCATGGTATCTGCATACATTCTTTCTTTACTATATTGCATAAATTAATATCTTAATTTAACAAGGTTTGCAGGGTCATCTAGTAGACTATTCACTTTTCATAAATCTAAGAATAGAGTGGAACATGACATTATAAATAGAAAAGAAGTTAAACTAAAGAAAACAAAATAAAGCAGAACATTTTGTTGCATATGATGTCCATGTAACAAACACTACCTTCTGTCATTAACACAATAAACTGATAAAGCACTTGTTATGTTGGCAGGATGTGGGGCAAGCTGTTCTCGAAAGCTATTCACGAATATTGGAAAGTTTGGCCTTTACTGTTCTTTCAAGAATCGATGATGTACTCCAAGCAGATTATCAAACTAGAAATCCAGTAGGAAGAAAGAGTAGTACCAAAAGCTTAGTTTCGAAGCCAAGTCATAAAGAAGAGTCAATAGATAAGGGCAGCAGAGAAACACCTGGTTCAATGACACTATCAGATTTCATGGGTTGGGGTGGTGATCAAGGTGACACAAAGTTAATGAAGAAAGACTCTTTTGCACTTTCAGATGATATTTACAAAGAACTTGATTCAAAGCAACAAAAACTTCCAAATGTAGTGACCAACAAGAAAGTGTCCTACCTAGAGAACTTAGGAGTGATGAGAAGTCCAACATCGCGACATTAAAAAGACAGTCTAAGAGGGAGAGAAGGAAAGATGATAGGAAATACAAGTAGAGAGGTATTTGTTAGAGTCTTGATTGATCCATTCTTTCCTTTTGTACATAGGAATCAGTGTACAAAAATTAACGGTTTTGAAGCATTTGTGACATATTATCCTCTGTATAAGAAGGATTTGTAGTGTTGTATCTACTAGAATGTGATTTTTGATGATATATATGTAGTTCCCCATCATCTTTAAACTCTCCTTTCCTTCCATTTCATCTGTGACAGTTTAAACATAGACATCATGCTAGTATTCTCATAGCACAATGCATATAGTATATAACATGTAACTATTACCAGTATTGCATGAAAGACATCAAGTTAGTTAATAACAGGCAATAGGCAATTGGTTCAACAACAATAATCTTCTGTACTCACTAATTTGTCTCACTCTCCTTGACAAAAAATGAAAAGCAGCTATCTCATTGAAAATTCTAATAACTTGTTTTTTTAACGGAATCTAATTTTTTTTAACAAGATGACTGTTTCTAACTTGTAACAAAGAGAACATTACATATTAATAGATATAGCATCAAATTGATTGATTAAAGGACCTTCAAACAAGTCCTTGTAAACTCTCAGACACTTGTGCTTAACTCTCATAATGGAATGTATATTTAAACATGGTAAGACTTAAAAAAAATAAGTACTTTAGGTAAGATGAAATAAAAATATTACACTACTTTTTGGACATTTTATGATGGGATAAA